CTGGCCAGTGTGGCTCAGTTGGTTGGGGTGTCATCTGTTACCAAAGGGTCACAGGTTCAGTTCCCTGTCAGGGCACATACCTAGGTTGTGGGTTCAGTCTCAATTGGGGGTTGTACAGGAGGCAGCTGATCGATGTTTCCCTCACATCGATGTTTCTCTTTCCCCCTTACTCTCTTTAAAATCAATGAAAAAAAAAGATGAACTACAGTCAGCAGCTTGTATTTCAGCTTCATTTATATAATATTTTATCATCATAACCTTTTAATTTTAATGTAGTCAAATGTGTTAGTGATCTTAATATCCTCATTAATATAGCACCAAAACACAATGTAGAGTGAAAGAATTGCTAAAGAGTCTGAATAGTACATCACTAATTATATGAAATTTGAAACATACCAAGCAATGCTGTATCTATTGCTTTTTATTAGATACATAAATAACTTATTAAGGAGGAATAATGATAATACTATTCTGTGTCTGAAACATTTTATCTATTTATTTTAAAATCTATTTAATGAGGTATTAATTATAAGAAGACTTAATTGGTAACAAAATACCTTTTTCACTTTTCTCTAGTTTAAGATGTTCCACAGTCAAAAGGAAAATCAACAGGCAGCCGCATACATGAAGGGAAGGCTTGCCCAGAGGAAGGCGCGTGGTCCTGGGGACCCTTAGAAAGCCCCTGACAGAGGGCGGTGCCCCCGGAAAGGCAATGGCATCCCGGCGACACCCCGAGGCACCCTTGGCGGGGGCGGCTGCGGGTGGCCAGGGTGTGGAGCTGAATTTCCCCGAGAAAGGACTGCTGATGTGTGCTGGGGAGACAGTGAACCCTACACACCGTGTCCCTCCCCTCTGGGCCTCAGTGTCTGTATTTAATTGGTAGCAGCTTGAATTCTGTACGTAAGAGGTTTCTCCCCACAGGAAGCCTTGGCCTCGAGCCACGGCTTTCCCCTTTTTGCCTTCCCTGCGCAGTGGGAGCGCCTGCGGTTACCTGCTGTAGTGCCAAACCTCTGCCCCCTTGGTCCTCGGCCCCGTGCGCCCTGGCTCACAGCTGTGAGCCTTGTCAAGTTTTCCCCTTTCCTCTTCTTTCTATGCTCAACCTCTCCTCCTCCACCCTGTGGGATTCCCAGACCCTGAGTCACGGAGCCCTCTGCCCACTGCCCTGGACTCCTCGCCTGCTGCCTGGCCTCTCCCTGTGTGTGTGTGGGTGGGGTGGGGTAGGGTGGGGACAGTCAAATGTGGTCCCCCCCTCCCCACCAAATCCAGATGGAGAGAGGGCACTGCTTGTGCTAAGAATCAGAGGGTAATGATCGGGCTCAGGGGCCGAGCAGCACTTTCTCAAGTAGTTCTTGGAAAATATTGGGAAATACTGTTTCACTTGTGTGATGTGAAAGCTCTCCCGGTTTGGTGTCCTGAATCCCCTGTTACATCTTCTAAAAGGGAGTTATCCATCCTTCCAAGCGGGAAACCTAACTTGGTTTTGGCAGCATGCACTATTTTTTTAAGTGTCTTTTTTAGATTGAGCTGAACATACCAATCTATTGATTATAAGCACAGAGTAACACAATCAGGTGTGAAGTTAAGTTAGAGGGGGGAGGAATGAAGAGGCTGGTGGGAGAGGTGCTTGGCAGGTGGCCAGGCGGGGGCCAGTGCAAGGCAGGAGCCTGTTGTTAGAATCTACCACCTTCCCCTTCCACGTGGTGGGCGGGGCTGCGAGGGAAACTGAGGGATCCAGGGACTGCAGGGACTGCAGGAGCCACGCATTAACCATGATGCTTAACCAGGACGGTGATGTGGGAGACAAAGTCACTCTGCAGCCCACACTCAAGGGATAAGGGGTTGCGCTCCACCTCCTGTGCCCCAGTGTGAGTTAATGTTGTGAAATGTGTGAGTCTGTGTTCAATTATAGTCATTCATCCTTTGCATATGGACGTCCAATGTTTGCAGCTGGTCTTGGTGCCCAAACGATGGGCAGGCTGGGCACGCCGGGTGCAGCTGGCTGTGGGTGTCCTGCCTGAGACCTGAGCAGCGGGCGGGAGCAGTGAGCCTGGGTCTGAGTGGAGGGGAAGTGGAGTGTCCTTTGCGATGGCCAGGCCCGCTGCAGGCTGGGTGACCCTGTGACACCGGAGCTGGAGCCGTGGCTCCACGAGGAATCCTATATAATAAAAGCCTAATATGCTAAGTGTCTGGTGGACCGGTCATCCATTCAACCAATCAAAGCGTAATATGCTAGTGATATGCTAAGGCCGCTCAACCACCCTCAATGCAGGAGCTGCCCCCTGGTGGTCAGCGTGCTCCCACAGGGGGAGTGCCACTCAGCTAGAAGCCAGGCTCACGGCTGGTGAGCGCAGTGGTGGTGGCGGAAGCCTCTCCCACCTCTGTGGCAGCGCTAAGGATGTCTGACTGCCGGCTCCTGGACTGCGAGAGGGTGCAGGCCGGGCTGAGGGACAACACCCCCCCACCCCCCGCCAGTGCACGAATCTCGTGCACTGGGCCTCTAGTCCAGGGGTGGGCAAACTTTTTGACTCGAGGGCCACAATGGGTTCTTAAACTGGACCGGAGGGCCGGAACAAAAGCATGGATGGAGTGTTTGTGTGAACTAATATAAATTCAAAGTAAACATCATTACATAAAAGGGTACGGTCTTTTTTTTTTTTAGTTTTATTCATTTCAAATGGGCCGGATCCGGCCCGCGGGCCATAGTTTGCCCACGGCTGCTCTAGTCCTTAACATAAATTCCCAGGACTCTGCTGTCACCCACTGAGTCTGTAGGCTGGGTGCCCTCCTGGACAGTCTTGCACCTTTTTTATTTTGTGTCCTCAGTGCCTGTCACAGGTCTGACACAATAAAGCTTTTGAGTGACTGCAGAAGTGCCAGGTCAAGAAGCAGTGCTCAGAGGCCCCGGTGAGGAGTGGGCTGGGAGGCAGGGCTGGGAAGCTGGCCTGTGGCATGGCCCCTGGGTCACAGAGCCTGCTTTCTGGTGTTTGAGCGGGTGGGTGGGGCTGAATCCTCAGCATGGAAATGAGGGTGGGGTGTGGTGGTGAGAGTGTTTGGACGGAGAAATTATCGGGATGAGCAATTGAGGCCAGCCTCCCTGTTATTTCTAGGCCTTAAACAAGCGAGCTCATCCATCCCCACCACCACCCGGAGCAGGAAAAGTCAGATCACTGTCCAGGCCGCGGGCTGGCCAGACCATAAAGCAAACTGTATTCCCCCAGAATGAATCCTCTGCAGCACGAGGCCCTGTCTGAGCACAGGCGTCTGTCCCTCTGGTGCCATGCTTCCCACAAGGCTTCCTTTGGACCCGCTCGCGTATCTTCCTCAGCGTTCTGAGGATCAGTGGTCTGCAGTTAACAGCAGCCACTGTTTTAAAATAAAGACCGCACACCAACCCCAGTGGATGCGTTCACCCGTCGCTCTTCCACTTAAAACACTCAGGGGGCAGGGACTTGGCCTCAGCGCCAGGCGGGCAGGGGCGGGCAGGGGCGGGCAGGGGCGGGCAGGGGAGGCAGCAACAGGCCAGACCCACCCGTTCTGTGCGAGGGCTGAGGACTTCCGTGGCTCCTTCCACTCACAGCCCCGAGAATCTTCATCAGGCTCAGAACATTCCGCCCTGAAGAGCCCTGTGAGAATCTTTCTTCCTGATTATTTACCCAAGACCCACAGTCCGGCCGCCCGCTAGGGAGGATGACTCATGTTTCACTGGATAAATGCAAATATTTTGAATAGAAACAAGGGAAGGACATCTAAAGCTAAAACCCGAGGAGCCTGCTTTTAGGTAATTTCTGGTGAGCACAGCGGTTCCGGGAAGGGGAGGTTAAGTTGCCTCCTTGTAGTTCAGCACTGTTGGCGCAGGCGGAGGTTCTGAACTAAATCTGGACCCATTTCCGGGCCTAAGGGCTCTATAGCCACTTAAATCTAAAGAGCAGGTAGGACGCCGCTACCTCCCGGGACTTAAAGGACACGCAGCAGGAGGCAGAGGCCGGGTGGTGAGAAGAGGCCGGGCGGGAACTGGAGAGGCCACCTGGGCGGGGTGCGAGCCGCTGGCCCACACGCTGCTCGGCTTCGCCTCCCTCCTCGCTGCTCCTCGGTCAGGGCCTCCTGGAACCTGTGCTCACACGCGCGAGCAAACGAGAACTTGCAGGCGAAGGACCAGTTCTCCATTCAAGATGACAAACCCCTTCCGTATCCCCCCAAGCAGAGTCTTGTCTCTGACGCGCAGCGTTCCCTGATCACAGGGCATCCGTCTCTTCGCCCCTAGTGGCCTCGCAGGCTTCTGTCCCGGGCGCGTGGCCACACCCTGTGCCTCCCCCGCACCGGAGTTGGCGCTGTCTCCCCAGCTCTGCCTTCTACCCCCCCAGCCTCGCCTCCTCAGGCAACCCCTGGTCTCTGTCTCATCTGTGCTCACATGGCATGTTGAGTTCATGGGGGACGACCGTCAAGTTTAAATGATATTACAGTCGTCGGCTGGTTCTGGAAAGGAAACGGACCCCGCAGAGCTTTTGAAATTTCCCTCCTAAGCCACCGAAGGCTCTCCATTTAAGAGCGGGCTACTGGCACTTAGAAAAAGAAAAAGAAAAGACTCATAACTTAAAATCAAGTTGGGAAGCGGCCCTCCAAGCTTCCCGCTTTTTCGATTCCAAGGTCAAAGTGTCCCTGGCGCAGTGACCGGCTGTCCCTGCAGAGACACCCACGCGCCGCGCCGCCCGAGCAGCCGGCTGGGGCCCCGGTTCCGCGGCCGCGGAGGCCAGGGAGTCCGGGACGGCTCCCCACGCCGTCCTGACCTGGGAGCGGCGACAATTGGGTTGCACCGCAGCCGCAGCCCCCAGCCCCCAGCCCAACCCCGCTGCCTGGCCGCCCCCCCACCCCAGGTGCAGG